CCCCAAAACCCCAAAACCCCAAAACCCCAAAACCCCAAGCCAGATTCGAATTATTGAACATAAATGTTTCGAATTCTCAACTTTAAGCATTGAACTCAATAGCATCAATAATACTGACCAGTTGGGATCTATAGCTCAAATGGCCTTTGGCAACTTTAGTAAGATCTCAATTCTTGATTCTCAGACCTTCTCTACATTTCTTGAATCTTTCCTCAAGTTCTTCCTTTGCCTTGGTCATTTTGTGTGGATTATCTACCTCAAATAGAGGAATTCGACCAATAGGGATCATAAACATGCTTGCTCTATAAAGATGAAGGATATAATCAAATTTGGAAAATCCATTTGTAATCGTTCCTCTTGCAACAGATAGAGTAGTTGCCCAGTCTTCGTATTTCGGAATGCTCACTGCTCCTCCAAGGAAATACACATTGTTTACTATAGGTTAGCCAGGGCTTGCTTACTGATGTTTTCAGCTCCATGAGCTTTGAGTTCTTCCAGACAGCTGTAAATCACTTGTGTTCCAAGGGAAAATCCTACTAGAGAAATACTCTGATTAACAAACGGGAATTGCAGCATAAGAGCGTGAGCGAGTAATTTTCCAGACAGTCTAGCACTCTTAATTGCTTGAACGAAGATGTCCCTGTAATCGAATGGAAGAGTGATAAGCTTAATAGCAATGCTCATCTTCTTCAACAGACTTTTCCACTCGAAAAAGCTTTTGACACTTGTTGGAATTATAGGCTTTAGCATATTCCAGCCTGCTTTCGAAGACCATCTGAATGAATACACAGGGAGAGTTAGATTAGTCTTGCATAGACCAATCCAAGACTCTGTGTTGTCGTCTTTCTCACTAAGGAACCCAGAAACAGTGATCACAGCATGTCTGCCGTGATCTCATTCTGGAGAAATCAACTCGAACTGGGCTTTCATAGGCTCTTTAGATTCTTCAATGATTTTTTGAGAATTTTTCAAAATATCTTTTCTTTGCTTCATAAGAGTTTCTTTATCAAGGAATCTTGTCTCTTCCGGTTCTCCAAATTTACCTGGTTGGAAGGTTGATTTTGAGTAGTCTTCAAAAGCTTCAGGATGCTCTTTCATATATTCTCAAAATTTGACATAACTAACTCAATTTCCAAACTCTTCAACTCTGAACTCCTGATTCAGTGGAGAATCTATGGGATCTTGGTACTCAAATTTTAAGGTCTCCTTAATGAACTCTCCTATTGACTTCTCTAATATTTGTAGTAACTTCCTTGCCCTGGACTTCTCAAATGACGAGGCCAGGAAATTATACAAAAAGTGACGGTATCCTGGGTTGTAGTGTCCAAATTCATATTTCCCCTTTTGGTTTACAGTGCTGGTTAAGAACATCCCAAAGTGGAAGATTATGAATTTGAACTTAAATATGTTTAGCTCATCAGAGGTTATCTTGGTAATTTCCTTACATTTAGACTTCATCTCACGAGGTAGCATTGTGGTCCTGGCAAGAGCATAAGCATCGTAGTAGTTCATAAGATCATCTAATTCGATGCTTGCCCACTCCATCTCAGAGATAATCCATTTAGAGAGTGAAGTGTAGCATATCTTCAACTCTTCGCTTTCCTTTGAATTCGCTACTTGCTGGGAGTATAAAAACAAGTTAAGAAAGAGAGATACGAATTCAGTGTCATTTTCAAGAATGTTCTTGTCCCAGAATAGACTACTTCCTTGATAAATATTTTCCTGGATTGCATTGAAGAATACAGCCCATTCCTCTATAAAATTGGCTATCTCTGATTCTGAGGTAAGCTCAGCTTTGTTATCATTAAAATTCATTCTGATACTGTCTTCAAATAGTTCATTGGCAAGAAAGATGAATGCTTCTGGGAAATTTTCATCTGTCTCTAAAAGAACTGTTCTCAACTTTTCAGAATGAGTTTTAGTCAATTCTTGCTCCATATTAACAATCTGAGGATCATTTGGCTCTAGAAAATACGTCAGCTCTTCGATCTCCCTCTTCATCTGTGCAAGTTGCTTTGCTATGAACTTTCCAAGATATTCTGAAAGTTCTTGATATCTTGATGGATGGTTTTGTTCCATTTCACTAAGAATCATCTGATCTCTTAGGACCAAGAGTTCTTCTTTAGAATCCCCAGGATCTTCTTCTAGAATGATCTGCTCTAACTCTGCTGTATCTGAGTGTTCGTATTCACCTATAAAGTTAGACCAAGAGGTACCTTTCGGAGTGCTTGCTTTGAGATTTTTGATTTCTTCATCAATAAGCATGCTAGTAGAGTCAACCAATTCCTTGATCTCCCCAATGTACTTCTCAAACTTATTTTTCTTCTTATCTTTGCTGTCAGTGAAATAGGACTGGATCATTGCAATTATGGAGGTCCTTCAGTCAAGCTTATCTGGCTTGGAGGCAACTTCTAAATAAAGGTTAATTTCTTGAAAGAGAAGAGGTTGTTAATGATGGTGCTACCTTTAGATTCTTCCATATTTTAGTCTTTCTTTATTAATCTTATTATAATTCTTTCCATAAGGTTATTAATTATTGGGGTTTTGGGGTTTTGGGGTTTTGGGG